CCAAGTAATAGCTACCGAAGATGACCCACAACCTATCGATTTTCTAAATTTATATACTAAAATTACCTCTGCTGAAAATGAAAATCAAAAACAAAGTCAGAAAGTAATTTTTCAATACTATAACTTCGGGATAGCCATAGCGAAACGCTTTAAGTTTCATTATGAAAAATCATATAATGTAAATGATGCTAATAGTGAGGTAAACAAAGAAATTGAAAAACAACTTCCCGATGGTACTCCTGAAACTACTATTCGAAAAAGAAAAGAAAGAGCCCAAAAGATTTTTCATTTATTTAGTAAGATAGGAACAAATAAGATAGGACGAATAGAATCTTAACAATTGCCAAAGTTAACCGTTGATCAAATTAACTATGTAATATCTCAAATTCCTGATAAACCCCCAACAGGATCAATCGTATAAGTCACGTGGACGTGACCTCGAAGGTCACACTCACATGACTTCTGCGCCATATATTAATTGTAATAATTTTCTACGTAAAAGTTTTAACGTTTTATATATAAAAAAAATGGTTATATTGTTATGAAAAATTCTATATAACAGATAATAATAATCCCGCTTGTGCATAGTTTATTCGTAGATGGAAACACAGGTTTGTATTGTATAAAAAAAATTTAATTACGTATATATTATTTTTTCTGTTAATGTATTATGATAAAAGACCAGAATAACACTCACACGTAAAGGAAAATAAAATTACTTCGAAAAATGACATCTTTAGAGGATGGACATCATGAGGTCCTAAGGAGTTATTTTGGAGAGTAGTTAGAGAAACATCTTCACTATAGAGAAACCAAATGAAGAACATGAAGCCCGAAAAAGATTACAATGAGGTTAGGAACCAAATTCCCGAAGAAGTTGCAAAAATACACTCTAAAAAAAAGCAAAAAGAGCAAGAAAGGTTTTTTTAGCCTTAGCGATAATAAAATTCAACGGATCGTATATATACGACGAATTAAATCGTTCACGGCAAATTCTATTTCAAATCTAAGTGAGGGTAATATAAAATATGTTATAGGAAGAATACTATACAAACTTAAGATATAGACACTACCGAACACAATTTTAGTGGCCAATCGGTTTGCCTATGTATACTATATACATAATGCAAATAAAATCGGATAAAACATATATCATTATTACGAATTTTCTGTAACATATCTCTAAAAAAAAAAACAAATAGGCTACTATTACGCAACCATTTCGGTTGTTTGTAGATAGCAGATTATTATAAAGTCTTATTCCACCAATCCGAAAATATTTCTGAAGTTATCTCCTTTACTCCATTAGTTTCTTTAGACAACTCTCGTATGACCTCTTGGCGCTTGAGAAGTTCGTCCTAGATATGCACAAAAGTTAATCACTTACTTTGATAGGATTGGACAGAATAACATACCACATAATACGTTATGAGCTCAAAAATACGCATATATTCTCCTATGGAGGATAAAGCAAATGGAAAGACGGCGCTTCTGACTTCGATCTCTTTGCAAATCCGTGGTTTGTAAAGAGATACTTCCATTAGCGTGATTCGATCTTCTACAAAAATTGTTATATCAATATCAATATATCAGTATATATATAATATAAGAAATAATTTGCATACCAACGATTTGAATATTGAATGTTTTAAGTTTCTTGGCGGTCTCAATACTAGCACCAAGATATTTTCGGAGACTTGTAAGAAGAATATTTACTCCAGTATTTGAGATCTTTTCTGAATCCTCGAGAGTATGTTTTCTATCTTGTTGAAAGGGACCTCCTGATGATTCCATATTCATCACGTCTATATTATGTGTAAGATCTGTGGCCAGTGCATCAGCTTTTTTGGATACTGGCTCACCAATTGGGTTATCTACGAACTCTGTTGCCTTTGTTGACATTATTTCTTTTTCAATCCAGTATGTCGTAATGGTTCCAAACACATATTCGACGAGTTTAAAAGGTGTTGACACCCTTTCAACGAGGAATTTTCTCTCCGAATTATGTCTTACGAGATCATGTTTTGGATTGTATTTAATCATTAAATAAAATTCCTTTAACGTTAACTCAAATATTTCATGTAATTTCTTGTCTCGGTCTGTGATATTTTCGCCTTGCAATTGCTCCATAAGGCATTTATATAACTCCTCTGGAGTGGTTGATGATAAAATTTTTCCCAGCCATACCTTAAGAGTTGTTCCTAGGCTAGTTAGCCTTTTCTGTTCTTCCTCATAAGTTTCTATCTCGTTTACTATCTCAGGATATCTTATTTTAAGAATATTTTTAAGGGATTTAAACCCCGGGATAACTTTAAGAGATATCATACTAAACTTATGTGGTGTAAGAATCGGTTTATGAGGAGTTGAGAACAATTCTAACTTTTGTTTTGTTTGGTTGTTAGCTTGTTCATGATTTCCTGTCCAAAATGTTATTTGTTCCTTCTCGTCGATCTCCACTTTCTCGTATTCTCCATTTTTTACTTTTTCGTTTTGGGCATTAAATTTAATTCTAGTGGGTGTACTAATATCTTCATTGTCATTTCCAAGTTCCACTCTCTTTACATCTCGTCGAGCCACATCATCAATTTCTTCAACAAATCTTTTCCCACGAATCTTGAGAACATCCTAAAAGGAAATGTTTCTAAATTAATGCAATGTGATCGAAAAAACACATGCAAGCACACAGACTTACACTTTCAAATGAAGCACTGGCTCTGATATTAGTTAACTGTTCCCTATATTTCTTCTCAGCAGTTATTGTTTTCCAGAACAATTTGACTTCTTCACTTTCTGTTATTTTTTGTGTTAGTTGTTTCATAATGGCGAAGGAGACGTCGTCGGGCGGTCCTGCCTCCAGGATCGATTGTAAATCTCTCTTATATGAATGATGCACAGCTATCTTTTGAAGGTCAGCAAGGATTTGACTTCTCTTAGTCTCAAGAAATCCAATAAGTGACCAGTCGCACCACATATTTACAAAGAAATAATTGTCAACACTGTTCTTAAGAAGCTCTGGGGGGACCCAATCCATATTGAAGTCTATTTGTCTCTCAGATAACGCGTTTCATCAGGGTATAGAAACGCGAATACATTTATCACGTGTAGCACGTGACAATATGACAGAAACTCATAAGATAATCCCACTGATCCCACTGTTTTTTTTTTATCTCAGAAACTTTACGAGACTGCTTTAGTAACTCTATCTTATTAGGTTTTCGCATGATGCATAAACTTCTTGTCTCCACCTAGCCCAATAGTGCGTCTGGCGGGTGATGGGTGCGTCCCGGTGGATGTACGAGATGGAGAAAATATCCGGCCTTTTGCTAGCCCAATAGTGCGTCTGGCGGGTGATGAGTGCGTCTCGCAACTGGCTGATATGACTCCTATTGCAATTAATGCAAACTTCCGGCGATGAATCATCAACTAAAAAATCAAGAAACAATAGGCAAATACATTAGGTACATCCTGCATTCACTTATTTTTGCAATAATAAAAAAATTCTTTTAGGGATATCTTCATTTTTAACGATCAAATTTTGTATTTATTACTGTATTAAATAACTCGATATGTGAGGGCATTCTATAATATTAGATGCAGATTTAATTATACGGGAGGAATTAATGTAACAGCATAAATAATAGGTAAGTGATAATAGATAAAAGTCATCAAAAATCGTGTTAAAATAAAAAATGATGAGGTCACCGGACCCCTTTCTTTATTTATAAAATTAATGCCGGAACGAAAATATACAAATAAAAGAAGTATTTTTACTATATAATAAAAAAAAAATACAAATAAAAAAAACATACGCCTCAAAGAGGCACCCTTAATGGACTATGTTAGTGGGGTTTACATTTGATCTAACATATTCTGTCGCTGACCGGAATTTATCCAATCATTATCATCATTGTCCCTATCACGTTCTAAGTTTTCTTTTGACATTTTTTCCCAAGTATAATTATCTAATTTTTAGTAAAATAAAAACTTAATTCTGATAATTATATTTCAGTGTGAATGCGCTAACACGGCACAAAGTCTACTTACAAGATAAAAATTGTCGTTTTGAATGGTTGGGGGTCTTGTTTTTCTTGTTCTTAGGGGTGGTGGTTTTTTTATTACTGCTCATTTTTCATTTCTAAATACAAAAATTTATAGTAAGTAAAAAATCGTTTTATAGTCTCCGTTAGATAAATGTTTCATTACTTTAAGAAATAACTATGGTCAGGTAAAAAAATTATACACAAGCAAAAAAAAAAGTTATTAATACCCACCTTTACAAGACAAAAAAATCGCTTATTTTTATATCATCCATTCGCTAGATCTAAAAAACCTGCTAGAAAAAAAGTTACATTAGTAATTGCGGTAGGGTAACGCAATCTAGATCCCACCATGTAAAGCAAGTCTATTCGGTCATAAGTCCCAAATGCTGAATCTATTTTGCCATTTTTTTAGTTGAAATTTGGCCCTCTTAGATTTTGCCGATTGCTCAGAGTAGGCTAGATCTCAGAGATTGCGAAGATTCGAAGTCCTTGTAACATATGAATTTCGGTAAAACTTTGGTAAAACTACTGATTAAGAACGTTGTACTCTTCCCTCTTATAGCCCTTTTAAACCCCATTCGTGTCTTTCTTATAAGATCGTGTATAATAAAGCTCTACGTAGTCGTTATTCGTTTAGTTGGGCTGTTAACAAAAATCGACTATGAGAAATGATTCTGCAGGAGAGTGACACTGCATAAAATTTAATGCAGGCTATTGATTATTAAAGCTAGTCAAGGTTTTATCGCTCATTCGAACCTGCCTTTTCACAATACTTGAGAAAAAAAATTGCTATTTTAGCTTCAACCTAGACCAAAATAAAAGCGATCCCACGGGTCCGTTAACTTGCATTATACAATGTAACATAATACATACGTGCTTTATTTTTTCCAGCATGGATACCCTTTGGTGATGCTAGATGTTTGATCAATATGTTAGTTATACTACTGTTATACCGGTAATAGCTAGGAATTAATAAATAACGGTTATTCTAAATTTGTAAAATAGACTTAAAGGCCTTTTTCAGTGGTTTGGACTTTTTTCAGCAGTGTGGTATTATAATATGAGATAATTTTTTTACTAAACCAAATAAAGCTTCTGTATTACTATATTAGGATTAATATAGATATACCAATGAAAAAAGCCAAATAGCATGTAAAATTCTCATCGTACCCCGTATAACTATACTTGTTTAACTAATCCCAAATATGGAAAATGTGTGATTGTTGACGTGTTTAATAATTGTAGTGCCGAATATAGTAAATATGCAATTGTTAGCATAGAAATTATCGTGTTAAATAATTATAACATAAAACAAAGCGACATGTGATTGTTTTATAGTGTTAAATTATTGTGGTGACATGCAATTGACTTCAATACTGAATATAACAAACATATTACCATATTTGTGCGTAATAACGCGCAGGTGCGCGTTATTTTGAGACCTTGCGTGTTATTTCGAGACGCGCATACACGGTAATTCGAATCATTTTGACAAATTTGGGTTACAAGAGGAAGTCCAAGTTTTATTAATAAACTTAGCCTGAAAAATTCGATCAAATATGTAATATGGTATATTTAAGAGGGCGCGTTATTTTGGGACGCGCATGGGCATTATTTTGAGTCAAAAAACCAAATTTTTAAAAAGTGAGTTTTGAAATAATGCCTATGTGCGTTATTACGCGCAAATACAGTATTAGTTTGTTGTATAAATTTTCTAATAAAAGGGTTTCTTTCGATAAAGAATCTAATTTATTTACTTTCCAATCCATTAATATTTACCTAATATTTTTTTGCCTAAGACAACAATTACAATGCAAACATCAAATAATAAATGAAAGTGAAAGGTTATTGCATCACAGGATGAACCCACTAAAACCAAATTCTCGAAACAGGCCCGTATACGTAAAAATAAAAAACTTAGGCGTGATTAGAAACAAACCAAGATGCTTCGCGAGTTGGATGTTGACATCCCTTTGGTAATCGATGATATCGTCTTCGATCCATCTCGGCACCGAATTCAATCTGCCACCCGAAAAATATCCACTAATGATAGTATTTATTATTTGGAGAGGGAGTGGACAAGTGTTTCTCTCTGTTCTTCAGATCGGGTATCGTCCAAAAAAAATAAGACTCGGTATGACATATTGGCCAGAGAATTGCTAGTTGAAACTCTAATTAGAGAAGCAAAATCCTCCAACAATAACTCTCTTGAGTTGCCTGAAATTCTGTCAAATTTTCTCTCTCTAGTCTATACTGATATTATTAGAGAGACCGATGTCGGCATTGAGGGATCATCATCTAATACCGCTAATAATCGATTGTGGGTTGCTTTTGGCCGGTGGTTAGGCTTAAAGAGGCAAGATGGTCCATTAAAAGAAAGCACGTACGATAGCACCTCAGGTTGTTGTGGAAAAAACTCTAGTACGGTCATGATATCCAAAGTGATAGGGACTTTCAAGATCTTTTTGATATAGCTACTGCACATAATACTTGAAAAGAAAAGACTCATCTGATCATATCAGCACGTCATAATCTCCAATAAATAAGTAAATTGGTTCAATTCAAACATATAACAAAATCAGAGTGCATTACGGATCTAAGTGGTCGAACATTAGTTCATTTAGATTAACTTGATAACTACAATGCTGTCATACTTGCAACCAATGCTGTAAATAATTATTATTTCTATACGTTGGAGCATCCTTCACATCGAAGCGACGAATTTTGGACCAATTTTATTGAACATTTCGGGGCTTATACTAGAAACAACTTGCTCTCTTTTACAAGCTCCAATACTGCAAGTACGCATAACATTGATCACCATAAATGCGTTAACAAATTACTTCAGGGTCTCAAGGCATTATCAGACTCTGTCAACCAGTTCCTTCGAGATTATTATGGAGATTTATATGCGAAACTAAGCAGGTTGTCATGGGGTCCATTTGCGCCAAAGCTCTTTGGAGTTTTCCCAATGATAGCTATCAATTTTAATACCACTAGTGACTATCATTGGGATGAACATAATGAGGCAAATAGTTTATGTGTCTTAGTTGCACTGGGGATTATGAAAGGAGAGAGTTATGTTTCCCCCAGCTCCAGATAGTCGTATATCTTCAGCCAGAACAAATCGTAGCATTTACCTCACGTTTATTACTCCATAGCAATTTTTCAGTCACTAAGAGGATCCGGCATAGTGTCGTTTATTTTATACATGACACATTTTTCACCATTTACGGAAGTTTACTAAAGTTTATAAAAAGGCTGGAATTGAAAAAAGTAGTGGGCTAATAGTTTCTGAGCAGGACCTTAATAATGCTCAAGGTTTAAACCATCGCGAGCAACTTTCCAAACCGAAAGCAAAACAAATACAGATTCTTTCCACTGTATCTGATCGGAGACGAGGATATATAGGTATAGATAGTTTTATTATATATAGACAAAAAACATAATTATTAATAATTGACGTTTTCTCTAGATTTAGCATGTGCCCGACAAGGGTTAAAGGCGAAAGATCTGCTCTAGTAGTTATGCTTCATGTGTGATATATGTACAGTTGCCTCCAAAGTTTAGGACAGTTATACAATAAACTTTAGTAAAAAAATAAAAATAATAGAAATATAATAAAAAATATATCATAAACTGTACATGTGCCTTCTCTTTATTAAAGTGCATTTAAGAAGTCTTACTTCCTTATCGCTATTTACTATTTACATTTTTGTACCGCATTACTTAATATCATCTCTACTACTATGCTCATGTGATGCATAAGTACCATGGGTAGGATAATGAAATCGATCATCAAAATTTTGGAAAAATTACTGTCGAGACATGATTTGGTTGTATGTTGTATGAATATTTATGGCTTATTGTTAGATAAACCCACCCCTTGAAGATGCACCAAATTATTGCATAATTGATATCCTTATTATCCTTTTTAGTCAATAATACACAGCTCAAAAACAAACAATAGTAGGTCGGCAAGTTACTTAGTGCTTGGACCCGGATATCCAGTTAACCGTGTTACTATATCCATTTTATAAAATCTATATCCGGATAACCGTTAGTTTTTTTCTGTGGATATCCGGATAAACCCTCAGATATCCAGATAACCGTACGGATCCTACAGATATCCGGATAAACCGGATAACCGGCAGATACACACGTATGATGCATATATTTAAAATCTTGGAGGTAACACCCTGGCAAAAATATCACGGTGATACGGCATGTTTGCCATATAAGTAGAAGTGCTGTATGCCGTATAAATGCTATATGCCACATAAATGTCGTATGCCGTATAAATACCATATCAAATATTGCCAGTGTTGTTATGCAGACATGGACCAGTCCAATGTGTCAGACATTGTCCAAACTTGATAT